TGTGAAATAACCTTATCAAGCAAGGAAACTGGGGAGAACGGGGAGTTTTTTAGTAAAAGGAAAATCAGTTTTGCGCCTGGCATGGTGCCCCCCACACAGACTAACTTCTCTGTGGCCCCCTTGGTGGGCCACGGCCCCCGGTTGGGTACCACTGGTCTAAAGTGTCTACTATTTGACTGGCCAACTTTTGTAGCATTTACAACTGAAACAATAAATCGTGGATAAAAAATTGTTCTTTTTAATAAAATGTGTTTTACAAAATTTAGACCTAATTCAGAAACAAATCGTTTCACGAAGCATTGATACCGTATTGTCATTATGTATTTCACTTGGATACTCGTGATACTATGCGTTGGAATATTACATGGACAGCGAATCCCAGACGAAAGTTTTCAGGTAAATGTATTCGCTGTATATTTGTTGAGAAGTTTTGGAACTACCGTAGTATGTGAACCAACATGACGGACACATTACGATTAGGCCATAATTTTATGCCAACTTTTCTTATTTCAGTTCTATTACGAGTTCGAGTGATTAATTTAGATTAAACTGGTACGTGTGAATAATCGCAACACGTTACAATGCCCTAACAGCTAGCTTGATCGAAGCGAAAAGTATCATAAAATTAATATCCAAATTTTTCGATATTTCAACTATTATAAAGGTGCGATTCGCCGTTCCTCCCAAGTTATGTGAATGTGGCCCTCCTGTTTTAAAAGTTGCACACCCTTGCTTTAGAGCAGAGGTTCTCAAGCTCTTTTTGCTCGCGGCACACTAAGAAATTAGGAAAAATCTCGCGGCACACTTGTGAGAAATTTGAGCTAGACTTGGGAAAATTATTCTACAAAATGTTAATGCGATGTTTGTGCCTGTTTAGAGAAACGAGGATCGGTCGCTCCCTTTTTTTGCTTTTGATTACAGCCAGAGCAAAAAATACGGCTTAACACATCCATGTAGATGCAAATGGATAGATTATTTTGATGGCTTTTGCACCGATGATTGAATAGAATTTGTAAGCAGAAAGTCAAAACTCGACCAAACTTGCTTTCCCATAGCCCAACTCAGGGGTCGGCAAACTTCGTACTCGCTTGCCAGATCGTCATTTGAACGACGTACTGCGGGCAACCAAGTTGCCATAATCACATCATCTTTCATATTGGGAATAAGAAAATACAAACAATATATTGTTGGATAATATATTAAATGTGGCGATTGTTCGTACACGAAAGAAATGTGTATACTCGGCCCGCAAGTACACAAAATTTTGCCGACCACTGGCCTAACTGAACGCGCAGATGAACATGGTGGAAGGTGGGGTCTTTTTTACAAAACATTATGACATCACAATGCAATTATACTGGAACAATACCCCTTACTACAACGACAGGGCAAATGCAATAATATTATCAGTCTAAATTTAATTATGGATATTCAAATCTCACAAGTTGCATGTATGTCTATGTGTAATACAAACAGCTAATTTTCTTGAATTTCAAAAAGCTGCGCGCCACATTTGAGAATCTCTCACGGCACACTAGTGTGCCGCGGCACACAGTTTGAGAAACACTGCTTTAGAGGTTTCCTCATACAAGAGTTGGACTCAACTTCACATATTTATATTTTATTGATATTCATGATTTTAGGGTCAGCAAATGCATCTGTATTGTACCAACAGAGACCAGCATTCTGTCCTTACCGATCAAACAGTTTTTCGTGGAAAAGCTGGGCCACGGGGACCACCAGGAGAGGTGGAATACCATATTATAAATGAAACCATAAAAGATTATCTCACTGGTATGTAATTTTGGATACGAATTAAAAATATTTATTGTCTCATAAAAATAATATTGTGGTTATGGTTTCGTTGAGACAAAATAGTTTCTCTTTTGTATTGGCTTCCTGTGCCAATAATTAACTCTAATTTGTGGATGACACAGTAGATACCAGAATATCGTGTATTTAACTATCAATTCATATTTCGTATGCGTATGAGGCCGATGGTGCAAATATGCTCGAATAAGAATGTATTAAAAAACATAAATTCATTAAATTATGTGACTGAATGTCATCAAAAACCCGAATGTCTTACGATCGCCGAGATGAGACTTTGGTTTATTCGGTACACAAACAATGTTTCCAATCAATTTTCCTGCGTCAAAAAAAAAAAAAAACGAAGATTCATGCATGCATTTAACAGAATTGTTTGACGCATTACAGCCCAATTTTTGTTTATTTATTATATGCTCCCTGGAATAGTATTTTTTTTTAATTTTTGCATTTTAGAGCAAGAGTCCTGCTATTGGAAAATACAATCGAGAAAGTATGTTTCAAACTCGCCTTAAACAACGATCGAAAATCGCCTATTTCACCACAAAAATAGTTTTTGTTAATTTATATATATTCCAATTCAGGGATTCATTTATATTTTGATATTTCTTGCATTTCAATATTAGAGTCATTCTCTAGAAAAGTAATTGAGTAATCTAGAAAATATTTCAAAATCGCATATTTCGCCCCAAAAATGGTTTTGGTTTGTTTATTATGTGTTCCCCAAAATGGATATTTTTTTTTGCATTTCAACACTACAGTACTGATGTACAAAATGAAACGAGAAAGTCTTGCCGTGAACAGCAACAGAAAATCGCAGTTTCACTGAAATTTTTGATATTTTTTTGAATTTCACGACTACAGTCTTGATCTAGGAAAATAATGACGTTAAATACTCTAATACTCAAGACTCTAGTGTTGGAATGCAAAGCAGGATGAGTAATCAAAATCTCATAAATTCTAAGAACAAATTATTAATAAACAAAAACCAATTTTTGGATAATATATTCGACTTTTGTCGGTGATTATTACAAGTTCAAAACATGTTTCCTCAATTATTGGACACGTTTAGTGGCCATAACGATCGTTTCAAAATTTTGTTGTTATTGTTATTTTATTTCGTCATTATCATTAAAAAATCGCTTTTCTCTTCGAATACTGGACCAATTGCTTTGAAATTTTCAGTGGTTAAAGATAAAATTTTTCTCCAGAAGGCTATTACTTTTTTTTTCGCTATGACATCATCAAAATTATTGCCATTGGGTGGCGCAACGTGTCCATATATTCGAGCATAGCTCTCTTTGATTCTTAGAGCAGGACTCTAGTGTTGCACGGTAAAACATATCAACATTTGAAAAAAGTCCGTAATAGGATTGTTCCAGTGAACAATTTTTTGGTTGATAAGGCCCAAGACGTTGTACCTCTAACTTTTGTTCCAGCGGCAGCTGCGAAAACGGAGTGCGAAGTAGTGCATCAACCTTATTCATTATGAGGTCTAAGGCTAAGAAATGCGAAGCCGGAAAGAAGTGAGGAGCTCAAAAGGAATGTGGAAAATCGAAAGCAAATGGACTAAAGGTCTCTAACTGATTCAAATAGCGAAACAAGCGACAAAAACGAAGGCGAGGAAACTATCAACTCTTCAAGCAACCAACGAACGAGAAGGAATGCGTGAATATGTCAACACGTTGTTGTAAGAAACGTCGGCATTGCGTCGCCATAAGTTCGGGGCTAGCCCCGATGATTTAGTAAAAGAAACAGAAAACAAACGAGACAAACGCGGCGAGTGAAAGATAAAAGAGAGAATACGATATACAATGAGCAACCGGGGCAAAATCGGCGTCGCCCCGTCGACGTTCGGCGAAGGCTTTGCGAGCGAAAAATGAACCATGTCGGGAGAATTTGGCTAGTGTAGACAGTCTGTGCAACCGATATTGAGGTATTTTCGAATATTTTTTATTATACCGAAAAAACAACCGGGCCCTATTGACGCGCCGCCACTGATATATACTGTATTATAAATTTTCATGTTTTCGAAATATTCAATATTATTGCGATATGAGCGTGAGTGAACCGAAAACTATGGTCGGCCATGTTTCGATGTATGTAAATCCGACAAACCTTGTCTAAATAGTTATTTTTGATAACGTCAAACTATACAAACAGAGCACTTTGACGACAGGCATTACTTGCCGACATTTTATTCAATTCAAATATTGACCGAAAGCCAGAGGTCTTTTGTTGGAAGCATAAGTTGAAACTTAGTTACAACAGCTATAAGAAATCAATATGAATATGAATCTTTTGTGCCCTTTGAATTAATTTGGTGTCGGATTATGAATGTACGAGCAAGTGTTTATTGAATAAAGTAGAAGCCAATTCCTTCTAATATATACCTGGATTTTAAATTGTACAATGTGAACAAAGTATAGATAGTAGGAGGGCGGGCAAATGGCGATTGAGACTACGTATCCATGCCAGTTCCTACTATTATAATAGGATAGATTACTGCGCAAGCGAAGTTTTTAGAAAAGATAGTAGTCTACTAGGTTGATATACGTTTACCAGATTGCAATATCAGAACTCATAGACCTTGGAGATGTATCGAGTATCGGCATAGGCAATATCGTCCATTTTTCGATATCGATATTTGTATCGGTATCGACATTTCAGATATATTCATGTGTTTGATCTGATCAAGATTGTTTTAAAAGATAATCTAGTACATGGATGTTAAAAATATTTTTTTGTGTGAAGGGATCATGTTCGCGTCATCTGCCACCCTCGCGAGTTGAAACGATTATTATGACGTCACGTTTCTGATACAATGACATTTTATTACAATTTTGAACTTTTTAATGTTCTTAAATTCAAGTTATTACCGAGTATAATTACTTATAGCAATAACTTTATAGGTTACGAAGATTTTAGCCTGGTTCCTACATATTTTAGCTATTTATAATCCATTCTGTCCTTCACCAAAATTATTAATAACATTTCAAATGATACATAAAAGAAAAATATCAATTAAATATCACAATGAATTTTCCTGCTGTGTAAAATACATAATATAGCATCATAATATCACAAAGCCTGAATATCACAACTCTATGTATTGGTTAAATTGAATAAGCAAACATTCACGTATTTCACCCTAAATAGTAGCCAACCCGCTATCAGATTTCTAATTGAACAGCGCGATTTCTGTAAATTGCATAATATTACCAAAATGGACGATGGTTCAAAGAAAGGAAATATTCCCGATGACGAAAAGGCCTTAGAGCAAATAAAATCGAGCGTGGGTGAGTAAGTTTTGGATTTTGGTCTGGGGCAGTGATTTTTGACCTGGGGTAAATTAAATTAACCTGTATTTTAGGCCAGTAGTTACCAACCTGTTATAGATCGCCCCCTTCTGGAGGATTTCAGCACTATTTATAGTGTTATTATGATTGGTGGATTCCAAATTCTCAACAAGATGTAACCTTATCAATCAATGAAACTAGAGAAGGAGTTTTTTGTCAAGCGAAAAGTAAAATCAATTTTGCGACGGGCACTATGGCCCTCCGACTGCCCCTTCTATGGTCCCGCGCGTGATAGTGTGCCCACTGTAGGACATTTTCAGTCTTATACATTGTTGACCTAGATAAATTTTGTATACGTTCGGTTGGGGATACATTTGACATTTTATAGGAAGAAATAAAATGTCTAAAAAGTTGAGACCTTTTTATTTATTTACTGAGTTAAGCATGCCTTTCGTCAAAGGTTTTTGCAATATTTTCATACAAATTGGAATTTAACAACTGATATAAGCCGGATTTTCTGTTTCAAATTTTTTTCAGATCAACCTGAATCTCAAAAACTCAGTGCAACGCCACACGAGAGACAACTCAAAGGTGACGCTATTAAAATAATAAAATAACACTTAGGTTATAAACATATACCTGGTGCTTATTAAATTTCGAATTGCTAACAATTTTTGGATTGATTAATTTGGTCTCCAGTATTTATGCTATTATACCATACATGTTGGTACACACTAGTCCTTCCATGGGTGAATTACTGCCCGCGGACCAAGTTCGGCCCGGGTAATTCAATCTGGTCCGCCTGATGTTGCCTCAACCAAACTAAAACCAAATTTTGATATTTTAGCTAGAAAATAGCTCAAGGAATTTGTTAAGATTGCGATGAAATTTGGTTTTGACATGAGGCTTATTGTTTTCCACTTTTCCTTTTGTAACACTGTAAATATTGTACATAAAATGTAACTTTTTACGTATTCTTACATGGCCCGCCAGTCTGCGTGGTCAGAATTTTCGGCCCCCAGTACAAAAGCCTCGCCCACCTCTGCTCTACTCTTTATTCTTGTCATGCGCGCAAATGAATAAACTTAATAGTTATCTAGTAATATAGAAATTGCTTAAAAATAATCATTCATTCTTGAATAAGAGCAAGTTGGAGAAAAGACAAAAGAGAAACCTGATATAAAACAAAAACCCGTACTTGAAGAAAAATTGAAGAAGAAGGCATTTTTAGGTAATACTGGTTTTAATTCAAATGCTTCACCATTCATGACATATATTAAGAAAAAAAATTATTGGCTGGCACAAGTATTTTTAAATGCATTAACTAATACAAAGTAACGCAATAACCTTTCTCCACACTTGGAGCTACGCCATTTATAATTCATGGTTACGGGCAAGTGAAGTTGCGCTCTTTGTTTTTACATTTTACAAACTACAACAAACTCTGATATATTCAGAAAACATCTTGTTTTAACTTTTTTTTATAAATTGTTTCAGCGGGAGTTGCTGGCAACAAGGCAGTACCTTTTGGAGGTGAGTCTTTCTTTTTTTTTTCATCGTAGCTTCCCGTTTACATATGACCTAATGCCAGATCATCAAAATTGTTGCATTTCTGCACTATTTCTAGTATACCAAGGATATGGTTTTATTTAGGCAATAAAGTTCACTGGGTAAATGCTACCATCCTATTTATTAGACATGTTGTGTCCAATACAAACACTTCAAATTGTTCAAACTGCATTTACGCCAAAGTTGTTGTTCGAATTGATTTAGGATTGTATTATGTTTCCACAGTTGTATTTGGATTTTTACGTAAATGCAGTCTAATTTTATTTCTAGGACCGCCGGGAATGAACCCGATGGATTTTAGAGAAGGAATAGAACCAGAACATATTCAAGAAGGTTTTCAAGAAAGGAACCAACCACCACACGATCAAAATGCTATTCTAGAAGGTGAATTTAAAGTAAAAAGTATATTTTCCGATACTTCCATACGAGTTACTGTCCTTTGCAAGAACCATACGTTGTGCGATGAACACTTCCTACAATACTTTGCCTATCTTTCTAAAGTTTCAAGTCATTGGAGTCCGTTCAATTATCTACGAGATTGGATCAGTTATAGCTTTTACAATAAAGTTCTGCTCATAGACATTCTGCAGTTATCTGGTCCCGACTATGAATTTTTACATACTTTGCTTAATCTTGCTTAATTTACTATAATAAAGTATCTAGATCAGTGGTTTTTGAACTTATTAAGTCCCCCCCCCCCCCTTTTTAATTTAATTTGTAATTTAATAATTAATTTAATTTGTCAAGTCTCGCGCCCACCTCAAAAATAACTAGCTACCAATAAGCTACATTTAACAGATAATAAGCCGAAGGTGTTTCATACAAAAACACGTTGAAAATACGTGGATGGAACCTAAATAATGAAATAAATTAAAAGGTTTGAAATGCAAAGATCTAAAATAAGGCGGACAAGATCAAATCTGACAAATTATTTTACTTTTAACTTCACTCCCCCTCAAAAATAGTCTTCATACGACCATCTAGTGGGGCGATCCCCACAGTTTGAGAATCACTGATCTAGATGATAACATTGATTACGTTAGTTTTCAAAGCACTATACACAAATATTTTTCAGAAATGGAGGTAATCCGTCAAGATATTGGTAATTTACGTCAAGAATTCCGCGACGAAGTTGGGGAGCTTCGCAATGGCATGAACCAAATTATGGCTTTGCTTATGGAGCAGAATCAACAAAGACAACAAAGTGCGAGAAATGAGCAAAAATGTTTATCAATATAACTCACTTAGTTGAAATATTTTCAGTAAAACACCCTTCATATTATATTTCTAGTGTTATGAAAAATGATAAATAACCTTTTTTAAATCTATGTCTCACTGTCTTCTGTCTTCAGAAATGGATTATAAATAAACACGTAAACCAAAATTATACAACTACCATTAAACAGCCCTCAAAGTATTTTGAAATAATTTCATGGTGTATATCCTTTTTTATTATACCTTGTAATACATTTATTACGTTTCAGGTCAGCAACCCTCAAACGACATGGGGCAGCAACCCTCAAGCGACATGGGACAGAGCAACCGCGGTATAACGTTTTTTTTTACATTCATTACCACAATCAACGTTACTAAATTGATTGTGTTTGTTTGCATTTATTGACACATTTCATTTAAGCACCTTTACTTCTACATTTCAACAACTTTATGCAACCGTATGTAATAGGAGAATTTGGAATAATTAGAGCATATATATTAAAACAACAGCATACCTATTTTAAGGTTCAATTCGAGTAATATAGATCTCCCTCAATAAAAGCGAAAACTCAAATTGTCTTCGATATTACCTGAATTTTCAAATGTTTTAATTTTGACGTGTAATCTAATATTCATTTTTTTTGTTTCCACAGATCGCCAATAGGCTACCGCCGAAGCGAAAACTATGGGCCACCAAGCAGATTTTTAGATTGATTTTAACCATGTTTTTTTTATTATATCATTGAGATAAATTATTTGGGAGAAGATTGCTTATATGATATCACATTATTAAGAAACCAATGCACAAATTTATGAACACAAAAGTCAAACCGTCTCAATTTGGTGCTATTTTTACCATTAGTATCATTTAGGACCCCGGAAGCATCAGTCAAAAAATAAATAAAACAACTTCCTGTAAGATAATTTTTGTTTTAAGAAATTGTTCTAATAGTTAAATGTAATAAATAAAATTTAAAACAACAATTGAAACTCTGGATACTTTAATCTGGCCCGGATGATGCTGCCACAACAAAATTAAAACCAAATTTTGATGTTTAGCAAAAAATAGCGTATGGAATGTATTGAGATTGTGATTGAATTTAGTTTTGGCAGGAGGCTTATTGTTTTCCACTTTTACTTTGGTAAGACTGTAAATATTCTTATTGAAATGTAACTTTTTAATTCACTTTCACATGGCCCGCCAATCTAGGTAGACACAATTTTTGTCTGAAAACCTTGTCCACCCCTGGTCTACTCCTATTCTATATATAATATAAATAAATTTATGTCATGGGAACCTTGAGATCCAACAGCTTCATACAAATTTAGAATTTGTTGTGTAGTTGTTGAACAATGATATATTTTAACATTTCATTAAATGCTGTATTTTAATTCAAATAAATCCATCAAGTTCAAAGTTGGTATTTTTGGAATTTGCTATTGGCTTCGACGATGCAGAATGAGAAATTCAGTAAAACTTTAGAAATCTTGCACCATCACAAAAGTAAAGCTACAAAATAAAGTTTATTTTTGTGATTTAATGTTTAAGTAGTCCCAAATGGTTGAGACACAACAGGTTTATGGGGGTAAACAGCGAGTTAATGTAAAGTAAATTTGAGAGAGAAGACAACATATTGAAGTTCATAATATATGGTTAAAACAATAATTGGTAAAGTTGAAAATTAGAATTTTGAAAGAATAAAAATCTAGGAGCAACTACTCTATTTTTTACCAAAATTCATCAGAACGAAAAATAATACCAACTCGAAGAGCAAGGAGACGAAACCACATACAAGGATTACTTGGTGATCATAAACAATTGTGGTTTCTACTTATTGGCTGCCATGGCAAAATTTAAAGAAGACACTATTGTGGTTTTTATATATTTTTGTTTTTTATCTATTAGAAAGGTTTGGTGGGAACACAGCCTATGTTCGATTCACTAAGTAATAAACTAAAGTTGATGTTGAAATATATACAGGATCACTGTTTACACTCACCAATCATTTTCCTCCGAGCGTTTCAAGTCATCAGTCTCACAAAGATGACAAGTCGTACATTTGACTCCTAATTTCAACTCATTAAAAGCCTTCAGTTTATCCTGTGTGATAGATCCCTTACTGGTTATCGACAGATGGGACGGCATTGTCCCGGCTAATATTGCTAAGGAAAATATAACTGTTTAACTTCGCACATGTTTACTGTGCGAAAACCTTTGCACCTCTCTGAATAGATAAGTACTTAGTATAAATATTAGATGTCAAATGTTTTTTTCATTGCCAAGATTTACTGTTCGTCTGTGGTCACATTCGTAAAATATAAATGACTGTCAAATGTACTTGTAACCTGAATTTTTTATCAGCAACTAATGCTATGAAACGCAATTTAGCGCCTAATTTATAGGTTTATTCGTGTGGATGACCGACAAAATTTAGGGTGAATTGAATTTGAATGTGACAAAATGCGCTACAATGTGTTAGTTAACATTTCAATTGTTAGCTTGAATGCGGAACCTTGTGCCCTTTTATCAGTGACACTAAATACATAGTATTTCAGGTATGATCATCAAAGGCAAAGTACTAGATCTACTGTACTAGATTATTCGACTTTTATCTAGTAAAGTTTTTATTTTATTTGAAGGTTCAAAAATCACGTACGTTAATATCATTTTTTTTTTATGTTTTCCAAAATTTTTATATTAATGCGGAATTAGTGTTAGCGAACAGGCCATTCAAGTTTTTGAGGTATTTTTAATAAAAATTGGAATAATATTGTTCCGCCACGCCTTATTCGAACAGTTTTTATATTAAATAGTATTGAGAGAGGAAGACATACAAGTGAAGCGCCTGGTCTGCACGAGAACAATTACTCATCCATGTAAGATCTTATATGATTCGAGTATAGACTGAGCGCCAATACAAAGTTACAATAGTTTTATTGGAAACCGAAGGAGTGCAATGTGAATAAATACGAATCTTTTGTGCCCTTCTAATTTGTATGGTGTCGACTTTACCATGTATTCGCAAATGATTGTTGGGATTGGAGTATCCGATTTCCTCTGTTACCTCAGATTTTGAAATCGTTAATAAATAGAGCATAGTGTTAGAGCATTCATGTGGCAATTAAATCTACTTTTTCTTGTCTAGTGTACAATAAAAAGTGTTCAAAAGAGGGCCAGATATAACATGTTTTATAGATCGTAATGTTAAAACGAACCAACCCTGGCTTTAAAAGAATACCTAAAATAGGAATTGAAATCAGTAAGATTTCTAATTAGTTGTATATAGGCTTACAATAGTTGACTAGGTCCGATTATTATAACGACAACAATTATTCACCATTGCCCATGCAAGATCTTATATGATTCAAGTATTTGCAGAAGGCCAGATGTCTTTATGAAAGGATAAGAGAATAGGAAATTACAAAAGCCATATTGAAAATCCGAAGGAGTGCAACGTGAATAAACACAAGTCTTTTGTGCCCTTTGAATTCATAAGGTGTCACTTTACAATGTAAACTCGAGTGATTATTTTATAACGGAGTAACGGATTCCTTATGTTCCCCCATATTTTGAAATTGTTACTGAATACAGCATTCATTTGGCAATTGAAACTACGTGTCCATATCCATTCGATTTTGTTATAGGTGAGTGGATGAGTCTAGCGTGAAAAAAAGTTCAAAGGAGATGATGTTAAGATATAGCATGTTTGATATTTATCAATTTTAAAACAAGTACTGGTCTTGTTTAAATAGAACAAACTAAGACAAAAATTAAAAAAACCGAGAGTTATTAGCAGTTGTTTCCCAATGCAAAGTGAATATAGGTTGAATATAGGTTTAAGTGCAGAATTTTTTTAGGTTCAGCATGCCTGCCCAATTTACTCAAACGTCGGTGAGGAATTTTAACCTTAAATGTAACGCTTTAAGCACTACATGGGTCTTCAAACCCCCCTTCAAGATTTGTCAAGTCTCGCGCCCATCTCAAAAATACCTAGCTAACAATAAGCTACAAATAACAGATAGTAAGGCTAATGTATGTTTTATTTAAGAAAGTATGTTTTATTTAAAAAGTATGTTGAAACGTAATGGGGATGAACCGTAAATATCCAAAATAAATAAATGTAAACATCCAACATAAATAAATGTAAACATTCAAAAAAAATAAATGTAAACATCCAAAATAAATAAATGTAAACACCCAAAATAATACAGGAAAGATCAAATCTAACAAAATTTTTTATTTTTAATTAGCTTCATCCCCGTTCAAAAAATTGTCTACGCGTCCCAGTCGTTTGAGAACTTTTTAGCAACTTCTATTCCTAAGAACTGATACTTATTTGGTATATACTGATCCATTGATTGCGAAGGGCGATTTTAAAACAACTACAATCATTCAAATAACAGCAAGAATTTAGCGAAACGACCTAAAAGTACACTTCTGTAAGTACTGTCTGTGTTTGCCAAGTGAATATACCCCCTGCCCATAGGTTTCAGTTCTTTTATACAACTTGATGTAAAGTAGGCGAACAAAATTAGTTACCTCGATATTGGTACAGACACTTCTCTGGGGCGCCTTGTTGTGTAATAAATAGGTAAATATTTAGGAGAAGAACAGAAAATTACATAATATTATCAAAATGGACGATGATTCAAAAAAAGAAAATATTCCAGTTGGAGAAAAGGCATCACAAGAAGTAGAATCAAGCGTAGGTCAGTTAGTTAGGATTTTCTGTCTGTTGTTGTGATTCTAAAGCTGAAATTTGACCATTAGTTACATACTCAGTACACTCGCAATGTCATTTATAGCTGATATGCTTTATATAACCAGAGTAGATTGATCTGTTATCAGTGTACGTCAAATTTTGTATAACCTTCTTTATATCGTAATACTCAATTGCTACCGTATCTAATTAGATGATCTATGTCGTATGGTTCAACCTATATTTAGGTCTTGGTCCGTTGCAAGTCGCAACTCTTCTAATAGCACTCTTTTACCTGGGCTCAAATCCCAATTAATTTTAAACGAGCCACGTTTAATTCTGTAAAAAAAAATTTACCTACCTTGCCGGTCCAAATAAATATTTTCAATATAAGATTTAAACCATTAGAAGCCGGTTTTTCTGCTTCAACTTTTTCAGACCAACCTGGATTCTCAAAGACCGGGATATCACCACACGAAAGACAGTTCACAGGTGAAGCTTTTGAATGACAATTTAGAAACTGCAAAATACCAAAAATGCTGCAACGGAGTAACGATAAATACTAACAATTTGGACTTCCATCATTCATGTAAATACGCATTACAAGTCAATACATGCTACTTTGCACAAGAAAACAAACTAAAAATCATTCAGTAACAACAAAATTTAGTAAATAATTTATCGATTCGTTTTATTTCATGGAATAAGGTCAATCTGAGAAGAATGCTGAGAAAAAACTGGATCAGAAACCTGTTCTTGATGCAAAACCGAAAATAAGCGAGGATTTCTTCCAAGGTATAGTTGTTTCAAAATCTTACCCCATTAATACCATTCTGCCTTCTACTTTTTTATTAATTATTGAGCACATGCACCTACCATCATATTCATTAACTAATACCAGAACAAAGTAACGTAAATAAGTCTTCTTTACAGTCAACGCTATAATCCATATAAAACTGTGGAC